CAGTTGCCTTGCTCTACCAAAATGATCACGCTCATGGACAGGGATTCTCGAAGATTTCTTACCTTCAGACGACTCCTTGTCAGAGCCCGTGTCGGAGATGTCGATCTTCTCTAGTTCTCCATCGTGTTTTGCCCTAGGGAACATTCCGGCGAGACGATTTGATCTTCTAGAGCCCTTGGTTCCTTTCTTCGATTCAGAGGTCGACTTAGGTGCCATTGAAGAAAGTTTAGGTTTCGGAAGAGAAAGATGGGATTTTTAGGGTTTCAGTGAGGAAATCGTGTGTTCGTGAAAGAGTGAAACCGAGAAAGAAGAAGAATGGTTTAAACCGAGAAATGCAACATATCGGCTCTTATAAAACCCTTTTTGGAAACTGTCAATTGACACTTATTGGAAATTTCGGAAATTGTATTCCGAAAATTTTGGGATTTTAATTCCCAAACGATATCATTCAATACAACTTATTTCAAACAATCATATCATTCAAATATATGAGAGATACATACCTTTTATGAGATGAGTTACGCGCCAAAACCAAACGCTTCAAATATGTGCTTGATCAAATAAGTCATCAAATGCAATGCGAGTTTATACTGCATAGCTCAATAAAGCGGGTTAATAATGTTTAGTTTATCTCTAATAAGCTCGAAACTTTTCTTTTCTAGAGGTTTTGTAAAAATGTCAGCTAATTGCTGTTTAGTTTCTATGAATTGAACATTAATATCTCCTTTTAGAACATGATCATGGATAAAATTATGCTTAATATCGATATGCTTAGCTCTTGAATGCAGAATAGGATTCTTGGTCAGATTAATGGCGCTGGTATTGTCACACTTGATCTCCACAATTGAGTCTTTGATGTTAAAGTCTCTCAATTGTTGCTTCATCCAAAGGATTTGAGCACAGCAACTTCCAAGTGAGACGTATTTGTTTCTACTGTAGAAAGAGCTACGGTTTGTTGCTTCTTTGAATATCATGAAACGAGCATGTGTCCTAACAATTGACACGTTCCTGAAGTACTCTTCCTGTTTATCTTACAACCAGCATAATCAGCATCAGAATATCCAATTAGAGTAAAATTTGATCCCTTTGAATACCACAACCCAAGTGTAGGATTAGTGCTAACATATTTGATAATTCGTTTGACTGCAGTAAGATGAGATTCATTTGGTTCTGACTGAAATCTTGCACATAAACAAACACTGAACAGAATATCTGATCTTGAAGCAGTTAAATATAAAAGTGAGCCAATCATGCTTCTATATAATTTTTTGTCTACTGGTTTTCCTTTTTCATCCTTGTCTAGTTGAATGGAATATGACATTGGAGTTTTTGTCTTTTTGCAATTTACCATACCAAACTTTTTCGTAATTTCCCTAGCATACTTTACTTGACAAAGAAATGTGCCATTTTTGGTTTGTTTAACCTGTAAGTCAAGGAAGAAAGTTAACTCACCCATCATGCTCATTTCAAATTCACTTTGCATCATTTTGAAAAAATTCTTACACAATTTTTCATCTGTAAAGCCAAAAATAATATCATCTACATAAATTTGGACAATTAAAATATCTTTACCTTTTCTTTTGGTGAATAGAGTAGTGTCTACGTTACCTTTTGTGAATTCATTTTGTTCCAGAAAGCTACTCAGCCTTTCGTACCAAGCACGTGGTGCTTGTTTGAGACCGTATAATGCTTTCTTGAGAGTATATACCTGATCAGGCTCGTGAGGATCTTCAAAACCTGGAGGTTGTTCTACATATACTTCCTCTTTGATGTAGCCATTTAAGAATGCGCTTTTGACGTCCATCTGAAATAATTTAAAATCATAGAAACAAGCTTAAGCTAGTAAAATTCTTATTGCTTCTAACCTGGCCACCGAAGCATACGTTTCATCGTAATCTATGCCTTCCTTTTGTGAATATCCTTTGGCCACAAGTTTCGCTTTATTCCTGACGACTTTTTCTTGATCATCCAGTTTATTTCAAAATACCCATTTTGTTCCAATAACTGAGCGATTCTTGGGTCTAGGAACAAGTTCCCATACTTGATTGATCTTAAATTGTAATAGTTCCTCTTGCATGGCTTCAATCCAGCTTTCATCTTTCAAGGCTTCTTCAACATTTTTTGGTTCGACTTCATAGATAAAAGCCAACGTATTTATAACTTCTTTTGCCTTTGCTCTGGTTTTGATTTCTTCATCTAAATTTCCAATGATGAGGTCTTTGGGATGACTGGATTTATGCTTCCAGTTTTTGTTGAATCTTTCATCGTTTTCATCATCGGAGTTTGATGATTCTTCATTATTTTGTTGGTTTGATAATTCCTAAGCTTCATTAGATCTTTGATTCTGATCACTTCCACTTACCGTTAATTCATCAGATGCTTTGTTAGATTCTTCAAATACTGGATTTTCAGTGTTAGAGTCATCTTGTTGAGTCTGAATTGAATCTTCAAACTTGACATTCAATGATTCTTTCACTGTTTGAGTATTTTTGTTGTATACTCTGTAAACTTTGCTTGTAGTTGAGTATCTAAGAAAAATTCCTTCAGCTGACTTTTCATCCAACTTACCAACACGATCATTAGGATTTTTGAGAATAAAACATTTACATCCAAATATTCGAAAGTAAGAGATATTAGGAATTTTACATTTGAACAATTCATAAGGAGTCCTTTCAAGAATTTATCTTGAAAAAATTCGATTTGAAATATAACAAGCTGTTGAAACAGCTTCAGCCCAAAAATGTGTTGGAGTTTTGTTTTCAAATAGAAGAGTTCTAGCCATTTCTTGCAAAGTTTTATTCTTTCTTTCAACTACTCCATTTTATTCAGGAGTATAGAGAGAGGAAAAAATATGTTGAATACCATTTTCATCACAAAAATTAAAAAAATTTGATTTTCAAATTCTCTTCCGTGATCGGATTTAATGCTCGAAATAGTATAACCCTTTTCATTTTGTACCTTTTTGGCAAATTTTGAAAAATGTTCAAATATTTCACTTTTATGAGCCAAAAAGAATACCCAAGTAAATCTTGAATAATCGTCTACAATAACTAAACAGTATTTCTTACCTTTAAGACTTAAAGTTTGAGTAGGTCCAAAAATATCCATATGAAGTAACTGCAAAGCTCAGTTAGTGTTGACATAATTTATTGATTTAAATGAACTTCTTACCTGTTTACCTTTAGAACAAGCTGAACATAACTCAGTGCTCTTGAATTTTCGTTCTAGCAGTCCTTAATGAGTTTCTTTGAAGCTACTCCGGAAATCAACTTGACACTTATGTGTCACGCCCCGAACCTTACGGGCTCACGATCATCCCTCCGAGGTCTATTCAGTGTGACGTCCCAGGACGGGTCGCCGACCCAAAATCCAAATAGAGAACAATGCACAAGCGGAAGCAACATATCACCCGAACAATAAAACACATGACCAAGGATAGCCATCGAACAACAACCATCATAAATACATACATGCATTAACAACAGGGATTTACAATATCCATTGCAAAAAAACTACACATATAAACCAAAATGGGTCAACAGCCACTAACATCAAAAATGGGTATGTGGCTCGGGGTCAGGGTACTAAACCTAAGAAGGGCACCTATCCAAAAAGTGTCGGCCCTACCCTACTCTAGTCGAGGATAAATCCTAGGGCAACCAGTCCGAGTCGGATCCTGAGGACTCAGTCGAGTCATCAGACGACTCAGGCTCGGAATCCATCGAATCCGGCTCAGACTCGGCGTCCACTGACTCCTCCCCGGAATCATCCTCCGGCTCTAGCTCCTGCTCCATGGGCTCCGGCTCCGGCTCGATGTCGGACTCCCAGTCCATCGGCTCCTCTCCCTCGGACTCGGCATCCATCTCCACGATGACGGGCTGGTCGCCGGAATCGTCCTCAGGCGTGGCAGCAGGGCTCACGACCTCTCCATCGGCGGCCTGCGGATCCGACTGGCCCAATATGTCGAACGGGATGTCGAAGGTCCTAAGAGGTCCATGGGTGCCGAACTCGTCCCGAAAACACCACGCAAGGTAAAGATGGGCCCGGAAATGCGACCCGCCCTCGTCGACCCAAACTACATTGAAATACCTAATATACAACTCCCCGTTCCCTATGGGGTGTACCGTCATCGATCGCTCTATGCGATACGGGATCCCAAAACGGAGTGGCGCATCCACCATCTCAAGGTCGGGGGTCTGAAAAGTGGGGTTTAAACAATAATGAGACTAAATCTCAGCGAGTAGGCCCTCTAATCCGAAACTAGGCTAACATGCACCTCCCGGACAAGTATCAACTAAACACACAATTGAGTAATCACATGACTTAGGCCCTCGGCCCAAATCCAACATCTAATTGACCCTGCAGGTTAGGCACATAATAATAATAATAATACTATGCCTAACAATGCACATACACATGTCAATTGGCCACTGTCACATGCCGCACACATATTTGCACTCGTTTATGCACTCTTCGCACACTTGCCAATGTCATGCTTATGCTTGCACAATTCAATGCACACTTGCACACTGGCACACGTGCCAACTTTCCATTTATTCACCGACCCGCGTAAACGATGCCTCAGGTTCGACCCGCGTAAAACGCATCAGGTCTATCACTTTTCGATCGATCTCCGACCCGCGTTAAACGTATCAGGCTCATGACACAACCCGCATGTGGGACGCCTCAGGTTGGCCATCTTCCGGTAATCCAGGTATCGTCCCGCGTAAACGCCTCAGGACGGGTTCATTACCCCGCGTAAACGACGCCTCAGGGTTTATGTGATCACACGAGCGCAATCCACCAATTATTATCCAAACCCCGCGTAAACGACGCCTCATTGCCAGAGGGAAATACGCTGGTCGATTGCTGAATTTATGTCGGAATCCCAAAAAGTGGAGGTAGTTCCGGCATGATCAGGGACGAGGGTCTGAAAAGTTTGGATTATACAACAATGAGAACGCATCTCAGTGAGTAAAACCCCCTAAACCTAGGCTAGGCTAACATGCATCTCCTGACAAGCAGTATAACACTCAAAAGTCAAATCACAACAATCGACCTAGACCCTTAGGCCCAGATCACTCACCTCACTGACCCTGCAGGTTAGGCATTTCAATATAATAATCAAGTCACGTACACGAACACACTATCCATACGTACGCCATACGCATGCTCATGCTCAGTAGTGTTCATTTCGCATGCCATTCACCGAGTCTCACACGCTCGCACACTGGCCCATGCATTCTTCTGCATGCAAATGTCATCATCATGCCATGTTTCATTCTCGCTCACACTGCACACTGGCTCAATGCTCAATTATTAATTTATTACAACCCGCGTAAAATGCATCAGGTCCAATGTCTATAGCCTGCTTCAAAGTGCATGAGGCGCAACACCGATCTATCTCCGGCCCAGTGTGTCTAGTCTACTTCAAAGTGCATGAGGTGCAACACTGATCTGGCCCAGTGTCTCTAGCCTGCTACAAAGTGCATGAGGCGCAACACTGATCTCCTCACGAACCAGAGCCCGCGTAAAATGCATCAGGTTGGTCGTCATTTGGACGTACCAGGCATTGTCCTGCTTCAAAGTGCATGAGGACGGCACACCCCGCGTAACACGCATCAGGGCAAAATGTGATCACACATACACACAGCCAGTTATTATCTGAACCCCGCGTAACACGCATCAGGGCGATTAGGTGATCACATGCTCATGGCAGGCACGCATTCTCGTACAATTTCATCACACGCCTCATTCTTGGCATACGTAATGCGTGGCCATGCAATGCAGTACAATGCATCATGAGCATCACTGTAACATAGGCATCCAATCAAATCAACATCACCACACTGTGCCCAATTCACACCCAACGTGTTCACTTGGCCAATTAATACCGTGCGGCCTAACACAATTCACCAATCGGCACTCAATTTAGGCCATCAAAGGACCAATCACACTCCGCACCATTTGGCCACACGAACACATGACATGGCATTACTCGATTTACCATAATTGAGCACAACAATCAATAAATCAGTCAATCCGGGCATACCCGGCAATTCAGGCACATAATACTCAATTGGTCCATTCTAACCCAACAACCCACTATATGGACAGCCATTAATTTCTCATTCAAATCAGCCCAATGATCCACCAAATTTATCGCGACAACAACCTCGAGCCAACGGTACCAAAATCTCCTTAAGTCGTGCATTATTAACTAAACCAGGCCCGTCTAAAGACGCACATCAATCTAGTCCGGGTTTAGGGAAATATATTCACTCTTAAACCAACTAAGGCGACGAAGAACGGGCAGCCAATTGCCGATGAACGGCGAAATCGACGGCGGCGGCGATCCGGCGGTGGGCGGCTCCGGCGTTCCTTGGCCGGGAAGGAGAGAAAACGAGATAGGGGGAGAACGGACGGGATGGTGATGATGATGAGGTGGTGGTGAGGTGTGACACCAGCGGAGGAGCGGCACGGCGGCGTCCCGGCGGCGAGCAGCTCCGGCGGTGTCTTCACGGTCGAGAGGAAGACCGGCGGTGGAGGAGAGGAAATTCGAGAGAGAGGAGGAGGGAGTCGGCCGAATGGAGGGAGTGAGGAGAGAGAGAAGGGTCAAACATGGTCAAATATGGGGGGTTAGTGGGGGACACTTGTCGCCGATCCAAGAAACTTGACCAAAATGCCCTTGATCCAATGGCCCACTTTGATCTTATCCAATAATTGAGGGGCAAGATGGTCTTTAGCCCCAATAATTGAGCTGAAATTCAATTTTAATTAATCCAATAATATCCCAAAATTCGGAACCCAAAATTAGGCCAAGGGCAAAACGGTCATTTTTCCAGCCCCAGGTCAAAATTTCATTTTTCGACTGTACCAATCCCAAATGTGTGTGGCCAACATAATAGACGTCGGATTCTCAAAAATCGTCTCTTAAGCCCTCGAAAATTGATGCCGAAGTCCGGGTTCAATTTCGTGACTAAAACTCGCTCAATTTCCAATTTCAGGGTCTCTCGCTAACGGGCGGCTGATTAGGGTTTACGTGTATCGACCTAGAGTTATCCGAGTCATGACGGTTCTGATCATAGAGAGGGAGAGAAATTATCATTAGTTCCAGAGGTCACGATCGTTAAAGTTAAGTTCGGGAATAGTTGGCTACGTGTACTTTTGGTCGTGCAGAATCACCTGCGATCCGATTGTACATCGTCGGCCTTGGCCAAACCAAATCCCTTACTTTTCCTAAGATCGGCCCGTGTCGACCCAAAATATTCCCTCTTCGTTTCTCGAGATCGGGGTCCGATTCGCGATCGGATCCCTGGTTCACGTACCGTTTTTTTCTAGTTAGCCATACCCCTTTGGTTAGTATCCCGAGAGTGATCAGCTCTGCGCGAGACTTACTAAAATGAAATGCGAAATAATGTAAATTTTATTGATCACGGAATTACGTCGAAATTCGGGCTGTTACAGGCCGAATAGCAGCTGGATCAACCAGGTTCAGCGGCGGCGCTCCGGCGTCCCCACGGCGGCGCTCCGGCGTCTTCACGGCGGCGCTCGGCAGTGAACGGCGGCGGCGACGGTTGGGGCTCTCGGCTGGTCACGGCGGTAAGGGGATGATGGTGACGGTGGTGGTGACAGCGAAAATGGGAGAGAGAAAGGAGGGGGTGAGATGGTGAGGGGTGGTGCAAGGTGGGGCGTGGACGGCGGCGGGTGGTGCTCGGCACCATCGGACGGCGGCGGCTTGGGGGTTGCTCCGGCGGTTCCTCACGCGGCAAGGAGGAGGAGAAGGAGAGAAAATGGAGAGGATGAGAGGGCGAAGTGGCCGGCTGAAGTGAGAAGTGAGGGGAGAGAGAGAGATTGCAAGATTTTATCCAAAATGGGTAGGTGGGAGTAGGTGGGGGTTGGTGGCCAACTTCACTAAAATTTACCATTTTACCCTCTCCACTCATGACTTGATCTAATGGCCAACATTCAAAGACCAATCACATCCAATCAAGATCAATGGCCATGATTCATTATTACGCAAAATATCTAGGGGCACTTAGGGAATTGAGCAAGAGTGATGGGGGCATCAATGTCCAATATTTTTGGCCACTAAAGAACTAAATAAAACCAATTAAAACCTCTAAAATTCGGAACCCATGCATAGGCTTAAGGGCAAATCGGTAATTTTCCATTTCCGGCCCGAAATTCCATTTTTCGACTATACCGATGCCCAATATAATTGGCCACACTAATACGATGTTGTCCTTGCAAAATAGTCGCATACGTCCATGAAATTCGACACTCAAGTCCGGACTCAATTCCACGATCAATTTCGCTCAAATGCGATTTTAGCGTCTCTCACTAACGGGCGGCTGTTTAGGGGTTACGCTTATCGACTTAGGATTACTCGAGTCGTGACGGTCTCGATTTCCAAGAGAACACGAGAATTTATCATTAGGTCCAGGGGTCACGATCATTCGGAATAAGTTCGAGATTGTTTGCTACACGTACTCTCGGTCGTGCGGAATCACCCGTGTTCTAATCGTACGTCGTTGGCCAAACCAAATCCGTCACCTTCCTTGGATCGGCCCACATTGGCCCAAAATATTCTCTCGTCGTTCCTCGGAATTGGACTCGATTCACGGTCGAGTTCTTAGGTCCACGTACCGTTTTTCTAGTTAGCCATTCCCTAATGGTCAGTATCCCGAGAAGGATCCGTTCCGGGCGAGACTTACTAAAATGAAATGAGAAATACACTTCTATTTCATTGATCACGAAAGTGGGTCGAATTCAGGATGTTACAACTCTTCCCCCCTTACAAAAATTTCGCCCTCGAAATTTACAACCCAAACCCGACTACTCAAACAAATGGGGGTGCTGACGTCGCATCGCTTCCTCACTTTCCCAGGTGGCACCTTCTGTTCCATGATGCTCCCAAACTACTTTGACCATCGGGATCACCTTGTTTCGCAGCACTCAGTCCTTTCTATCTTCAATCCTCACTGGCCTCTTCACGTACGACACCATGTCGTCCACGTCTATTTCTTCATATCTCAGCACGTGGGTCGGATCCGATTCGTACTTTCTCAGCATCGACACGTAGAATACGTTATGTACTTGGGACAAATTAAGAGGCAAAGCGAGTCTATAGGCCAGTCTCCAATCTTTTCCAAAATCTCAAATGGACCTACATACCTCGGGCTTAATTTTCCTTTTTTGCCAAATCGGGACAATCCTTTCATTGGCGACACCTTGAGAAAAACATGATCACCAACCTGAAACTCCAAGGGTCTCCGTCTCCGATCGGCATAACTTTTCTGATGGCTTTGAGCTGTCCTTAATCTATCCCGAATGATTTCGACTGACTCAACTGTCTGTTGTACCAACTCTGGACCCGTTATACTCCGTTCACCCACTCCATCCCAACATATTGGTGTTCTGCACGCCCTGCCATACAATGCCTCAAACGGTGCCATCTGAATGCTCTGCTGATAGCTGTTGTTGTAGGCAAACTCGACCAGGTGCAACTGTTCTTCCCATTTACCTTGGAAGTCCAACACACATGCACGCAACATGTCCTCCAAGGTCTGGATCGTCCTTTCTGACTGGCCATCCGTCTGCGGATGATATGCCGTTCTGAGCTGAAGCTTCGTTCCTAAGGCCACTTGTAGACTTTTCCAAAAATTGGCCGTAAATCTGGGATCACGGTCCGAAGTGATCGCCACCGGTACTCCATGCAGTCGGACAATCTGTCGAACATATAAATCTGCATACTTTTCTAACTCAAAATCCTTTCGCACCGCCAGGAAGTGCGCTAACTTAGTCAGTCTGTCCACTATCAACCAAATCGAATCGTGTCCTCTCTGGCTTCTTGGCAATCCCGTTACAAAATCCATCGTGATATGTTCCCATTTCCATTCTGGGATTTCCAAAGGTCTCAGAAGTCCTCTAGGCTTACAATGCTGCGCCTTTACTTGCTGGCACGTCAAACACTTGGCCACATGCTTGGCCACATCTACCTTCATTCCATTCCACCAATAATGCTGCCGAAAGTTCTGGTACATCTTTGTACTGCCCGGATGAATGCTATAATTGCTCCTATGAGCCTCCAATAAAATCTCTTCCTTCAGTTCCAAATCGTCGGGCACGCACAAACGTCCACGGAACTTCAAGATCCCGTCCTCGGATACTTGGAAGTCCGATTTTCTCTTAGCGGCGTCCATTTCCACAATCTTTTGGATTTCTTGGTCCGTAGACTGCAATACCTTAATCTTGACTTGAATTTCTGGTTCAATTCTCAACACGGCAAGTAGATTCGACACATGGCTTACCTCGAATTTAAACTCTGAATCTCTTAACCTTTCCAATAAATTCCACTCTTTGACCATCATGTGCGCCATACTCGACTTCCGACTTAGTGTATCCGCTACTTTATTCGCCTTTCCAGGGTGATCCAGAATGTCGCAGTCGTAATCCTTGAGGAGTTCCATCCAACGACGCTGCCTCATATTCAATTCCTTCTGCGAAAATAAATACTTGAAGCTCTGATAGTCCGTATAAATCTGAAACTTTTCCCCGCACAAATAGTGCCTCCAAATCTTGAGGGTGAAAATGATCGCAGCCAATTCCAAATCATGCGTCGGATAGTTCATCTCATGAGGCCTCAACTGACGTGACGCATAAGCAACCACCCTTCCATGTTGCATCAATACACATCCAAGTCCCTTAAGCGAAGCATCGCTATAAATCTCATATCCTCCCGATTCTGACGGGATTGTTAGCACTGGCGCAAACGTCAGCCTATGCTTCAACTCCTGAAAACTTCTTTCACACTTATTGTTCCATTCAAACTTCGTCTCTTTCTTAAGCAATCGAGTCATCGGCGTGGCTATTGATGAGAATCCTTCTACAAAACGCCAGTAATATCCTGCCAGGCCTAAGAAACTCCGGATCTCTGTTACTGATGTCGACCTTGGCCTAAGAAACTCCGGATCACTGCCTCAATTTTAGTCGGGTCTACGGAGATTCCATCTCCAGAAATTATGTGTCCTAGGAACGCCACTCGGTTGAGCCAGAACTCGCACTTACTGAACTTGGCGTAGAGTGCGTATTCTCTTAAGGTCCGTAGTACTTCTGCCAGATGTTCCTCATGTTCTTCCGGGCTCTTCGAGTATACCAAAATATCATCGAGAAAAACTATCACAAACCGGTCCAAAAACTTCTTAAATACCCGATTCATCAAATCCATGAAGGCAGCTAGGGCATTGGTTAATCCGAAAGGCATTACTGTGAACTCATAATGCCCATATCTCGTCCTCAAGGCCGTCTTAGGAATATCCTCCTTCCGAATTCTCAACTGATGATACACCGTCTGTAGATCGATCTTAGAAAACACTGAGGCTCCTTGCAATTGATCGAACAAGTCGTCAATCCTCGGCAGTGGGTACTTATTCTTGATGGTCACCTGATTCAACTGCCGGTAGTCGATACACAATCTCAACGTTCCATCCTTCTTCCTTACAAACAGCACCGGCGCTCCCCATGGAGATGCACTTAGGTGAATAAATCCCTTGTCCAACAATTCCTGCATCTGGACCTTTAATTCCTTTAGTTCCGACAGGGACATTCGGTACGGTGCCTTCGAGATTGGCTCAGTCCCTGGGGCCAACTCGATTACAAATTCCACTTCTCTTTCTAGTGGTAAACCCGGCAATTCCTGAGGAAAGACTTCGGGAAAATTGCACACCACTGGTATCTCTTCCAACTTTGGTTCCGCAACTGTCGGATCAACCACATTCACCAAGTACCCTTCACAACTCTCGTCTAACAACTTGGTTATCTCGAGCGAAGAAATCCAAGGGATCGAGGTTCCTCCTCGGTTTCCCTGAAACTCAAATTTAGGATGTCCAATCGGATTGAATTGGATCACCCTGCTACTGCAGTCCATTATAGCCTTTTGCTTAACTAGCCAATCCATGCCAATAATCACATCAAAGTCGAACATGGTCAGCACAGCCAAGTCTATCATTTCCTTCCTACCCCCGATAACTATCTTACAGTTAGGACACCCTAACGAGACTAACACTTTATCATTCAATGGGGTCGCCACGCATAACATAACCTCAAGCATAACCGGTTCAATTCCAATCAGTCTAACAAATTGCTCTGATATAAACGAGTGGGTAGCCCCCGGATCAAACAAGGCATACGCAGCATGATCACATAGAGAGACCGTACCTGTGACCACGCCTGGCATGTCCTCAGCCTCCCTTCGCGCCATCGCATACACTCTTCCTTGCGCTGGCGGCCTGCCCTGAATAGCCGGCGGGGGATTCCTTGCCTGATTCCCGATCCGAGGCGGCTGAGCTCGCATTGGTGGTCCTGCTGGACCCAGCTGAGGGCAATATATGATCTGATGGTCCGTGCTCCCGCACTTAAAACAAGCCCCAAACCTATTCTGCTGGTAGTTCGGCTTCCCGATGTTCTTCCTTACGGGGGGGACAAATCGTCTATTTCCCGCCATCGGCTTCTTCCCGAAGCGGCGATTGTCCTTAACCGGGGCAAACCGCGATCCAGAAGCGGCTGCCCTGTCCACCTGATCCTGCTCAATAGCCTAAGCCCTCTCATATAAGTCCTCATAAGTTCTCAAATTCACCGGAATTAACTGAGTGCGAATGTCGGCTTTTAGTCTATCCCGAAACCTTCGCGCCTTGTCCTCAGGATGTTCTACCATCCTTGATGCAAACTTAAACAGTCTAGCAAACTCTGCCTCATACTGATCCACAGTCATCTGGCCTTGGCGGAGTCTCATAAACTCTGCTAGTTTCCTTTCCCTAGCACTCTCAGAGAAGAATTTTCCATAAAAGTTCTCAGAAAACACGGCCCAAGTCTGAGCGACACCCTCAAGGAACACTCTTCCCCTAGTGGCCTTCCACCAATCACTAGCATTATCTTGCAACTGATACACAGCTAAGGTCACCTTCTCAGCCTCGGTGTACCCCAGTACTTCAAAGGCCTTCTCCAGCTCTTCCACCCAACGTGGCGCGGCCTCGGGGTCACATTTTCCGTCAAACTTCGGCGTCTTTAACTTTAGAAACTACTCCACCAGTTGGTGCATTAGCCTATTTGCAACCACTGGGGCTTGCCCTTGATTGGCCTGGTTTCCATTAACAGCGGCAGCAGCTGCGGCCTCGACAGCTTGGGCAATGGCGGCAGTCCTTTCTTGGGCCTGCCTTTCCACCACATTTCCTATCTCCTGCATAGCCTGAATGACCCCATCAATCCTCGGGTCTCCTGTTCCTCGGCCCCTAGTGCTCGATTGTCCTCGACTTCCCTTTCCTCTGCTCATCCTTATGGGTTTTCCTCACTACTCAACTACCTGCTATAATTCCACTCAGGAATTAGAGACCTAGGCCAAACTACACCAGTTTAAAGCCCTAGAAACATAATCACAACAGCAATCACCTAGCAGGCAGTCAATCACAACAGCACGAAGCCTCAACCAAGAGATATGTGCACTTACCTCGGGTCCTGCCGCACCTGCACTTTACGGGTCATTTCAACAATCACTCAATCACGCAAGAAACCAAACAGTCCGGAGGTACATGTAGCACACAAGTCACCCTATTTGGCTACCCATGGTCATCGCTCCTTATCACTCCAGACTTCGATCGAATTGGATCGAGCTGACCTTGCTCTGATACCAAATTAACGGGGGATGTTACGCCCCGAACCTTACGGGCTCGCGATCATCCCTCAGAGGTCTATTCAGTGCGACGTCCCAGGACGCGTCGTCGACCCAAAACCCAAACAGAGAACAATGCACAAGCGGAAGCAACATATCACCCAAACAATAAAACACATGACCAAGGATAACCATCGAACAACAATCATCATAAATACATACTTGCATTAACAACAGGGACTTACAATATCCATTGCAAAAGAACTACACATATAAACCAAAATGGGTCAATAGCCACTAACATCAAAAAGGGGTATGTGGCTCGGGGTCAGGGTACTAAACCTAAGAAGGGCACCTATCCAAAAAGTGTCGGCCCTACCCTACTCTAGTCGAGGATAAATCCTAGGGCAACCAGTCCGAGTCGGATCCTGAGGACTCAGTCGAGTTATCAGACGACTCAGGCTCGGAATCCATCGAATCCGGCTCAGACTCGGCGTCCACTGACTCCTCCCCAGAATCATCCTCCGGCTCTAGCTCCTGCTCCATGGGCTCCGGCTCCGGCTCGATGTCGGACTCCCAGTCCATCGGCTCCTCTCCCTCGGACTCGGCATCCATCTCCACGATGACGGGCTGGTCGCCGGAATCCTCCTCAGGCGTGGCAGCAGGGCTCACGACCTCTCCATCGGCGGCCTGCGGATCCGGCTAGCCCAATATGTCGAACGGGATGTCGAAGGTCCTAAGAGGTCCATGGGTGCCAAACTCGTCCCGAAAACACCACACAAGGTAAGGATGGGCCCGGAAATGCGGCCCGCCCTCATCGACCAAAACTACATTGAAATACCTAATATACGACTCCCCGTTCCCTACGGGGGGTATCGTCACCGATCGCTCTATGCGATATGGGATCCTAAAACGGAGTGGCGCATCCACCATCTCAAGGTCGGGGGTCTGAAAAGTGGGGTTTAAACAACAATGAGAATAAATATCAGCGAGTAGGCCCCCTAATCTGAAACTAGGCTAACATGCACCTCTCGAACAAGTATCAACTAAACACACAATTGAGTAATCACATGACTTAGGCCCTCGGCCCAAATCCAACATCTAATTGACCCTGCAGGTTAGGCACATAATAATAATAATACTATGCCCAGCAATGCACATACACATGTCAATTGGCCACTGTCACATGCTACACACATGTTTGCACTTGTTTATGCACTCTTCGCACACTTGCCAATGTCATGCTTATGCTTGCATAATTCAATGCACACTTGCACACTTGCATACGTGCCAACTTTCCATTTATTCACCGACTCGCGTAAACGACGCCTCAGGTCCGACCCGCGTAAAATGCATCAGGTCTATCACTTTTCGATCGATCTCCGGCCCACGTTAAACGCATCAGGCTCATGACACAACCCGCGTGTGGGACGCCTCAGGTTGGCCATCTTCCGGTAATCCGGGCATCGTCCCGCGTAAACGCCTAAGGACGGGTTCATTACCCCGCGTAAGCGACGCCTCAAGGTTTATGTGATCACACGAGCGCAATCCACCAATTATTATCCGAACCCCGCGTAAACGATGCCTCAGGGCGATTTAGGCGATCACATGCTCATGCCAATCGTGCATACTCACATAATGCACATGTTATGCCAATGCTCAATATGCACACTCGGGCACTCAATTTAAATTAGCCACAAGCTCAATTTATGCCACGACATGCTTAATTCACCTCTTAGCGCACCCAATGAATTAATGAATTCAAAACAGCCCTAACACACACTGGGCACCCGAATTCATGCGATTAATCAATATAATCGAGTACACTCAAGGCCCGCCATGCCCCTCAATTCTCGGTCACACTAGCACTCAACATGGCATTGCATAATCAAGCACAATTCAATCCCCAATTCAGCCACCACATGGTCCAACCAATCATACATGGCAATTCACGAACAAATCACATATTAGTCGTACAAGGCCCAATTAAACCATCAATGGGCAGCCATCAATTAGTCCACCCTAGGCCTTTAATCCACTTCCAAATCATCACATTAGGCTATTAAAATCACCACAAAAAAGCCAACACTCAGCCCACAAATTGCACTCACAATAATCCACATATTAACCCAAATCAAGTCCACATTGGATAGCCATCAACCAGCCCTTTCTAGGCCACCAAACCACATTTAAATCATCACCATAATCCATCAAAACAGCCACAAAATCAGCCCACACTAAATAACCCCTAAAATACCCTAATAACCCCTAAAACTTGTCTAAAGTGCACAAAAGCCTAAATAAGGGTTAGGGTTTCCACTCACTAGGTTTAAGGCTTGTGGGCTGAACAAGAAGAGAAACGGGCTGAATAGCAGCTGGATCAACCCGGTTCAGCGGCGACACTCCAGCGTCCTCACGGCGGCGCTCAGCGGTGAACGGCGGCAGCGACGGTTGGAGCTCTCGGCTGGTCACGGCGGCAAGGGGGTGATGGTGACGGTGGTGGTGACAGCGAAAATGGGAGAGAGAAAGGAGGGGGTGAGACGGTGAGGGGTGGTGCAAGGTGGGGCGTGGACGGCGGCGGCTTGGGGGTTGCTCCGGCGGTTCCTCACGCGGCAAGGAGGAGGAGAAGGAGAGAAAATGGAGAGGATGAGAGGGCGAAGTGGCCGGCTGAAGTGAGAAGTGAGGGGAGAGAGAGAGATTGCAAGATTTTATCCAAAATGGGTAGGTGGGAGTAGGTGGGGGTTGGTGGCCAACTTCACTAAAATTTACCATCTTACCCTCTCCACTCATGACTTGATCTAATGGCCAACATTCAAAGACCAATCACATCCAATCAAGATCAATGGCCATGATTCATTATTACACAAAATATCTAGGGGCACTTAGGGAATTGAGCAAGAGTGATGGGGGCATCAATGTCCAATATTTTTTGCCACTAAAGAACTAAATAAAACCAATTAAAACCTCTAAAATTCGGAACCCATGCATAGGCTTAGGGGCAAATCGGTAATTTTCCATTTCCGGCCCGAAATTCCATTTTTCGACTATACCGATGCCCAATATAATTGGCTACACTAATACGATGTTGTCCTTGCAAAATAGTCGCATACGTCCATGAAATTCGACACTCAAGTCCGGACTCAATTCCACGATCAATTTCGCTCAAATGCGATTTTAGCGTCTCTCACTAACGGGCGGCTGTTTAGGGGTTACGCTTATCGACTTAGGATTACTCGAGTCGTGACGGTCTCGATTTCCAAGAGAACACGAGAATTTATCATTAGGTCCGGGGGTCACGATCGTTCGGAATAAGTTCGGGATTGTTTGCTACACGTACTCTCGATGGTGCGGAATCACCCGCGTTCCGATCGTACGTCGTTGGCCAAACCAAATCCGTCACCTTCCTTGGATCGGCCCACATTAGCCCAAAATATTCTCTCGTCGTTCCTCGGAATCGGACTCGATTCACGGTCGAGTTCTTAGGTCCACGTACCGTTTTCCTAGTTAGCCATTCCCTAATGGTCAGTATCCCGAGAAGGATCCGTTCCGGGCGAGACTTACTAAAATGAAATGAGAAATACACATCTATTTCATTGATCACAAAAGTGGGTCGAATTCAGGATGTTACATATGTGTCCGAGCTTCCTATGCCACTAATCAGATTCTTCTTCTATGGAAACGAGATATTGCAAGTCGTTAGACTTCGTGTCTAGTAGGTAAATGTTCCCATGTCTTCGACCCGTAAATGATTGCTTGTTGTCTTTACTTATCCTGGAACATTTATTTTCTTGGAAAGTAATTCTGTAATCAATATCACATAATTGACTAATGCTAATTAGATTGAAGTTCAAACCTTCAACTAGTGAGACTTCGTTGATGATGAGATTTTCGATTCTGACAGTTCCCTTGCCAATTATTTTTCCTTTGTTGTTGCCTCCAAAGGATACGCTTCCTCCTTTAATGCTTTCTACTTGGATGAATTTCAGAGGATCTCCGGTCATGTGTCTTGAGCAACCACTGTCAAGGTACCACTTGTTCTTTCTTTTCTTTGGTACCTGCAAAAGATAAGTAACTCACTGTTTCTTTGGTACCCATATTTTCTTGGGTCCATTTTGGTTAGGATCAATCATTCTCAGAATCTCTCTCTAATAGGTCTCCAAACTTTAGGACAGTCATTCTTAAAGTGATTTGTATCACCGCAATTTGAGCACTTAAGGGAAGTTTAACCATTGAATTTCACAAACTGCTTTTGAAAGTGATTTTGATACACAAATCTGGAGCGTCTTTTCTTCAGTCTTTCTTTGACATTGGGAAAAGCATTTTTCAATTCAATATTTTTCTCAAACCCAAACCTGATTTATTATAATAGGAAACTTGAATTGACAAAATATGTTGAAGATTTTTCGAACCCATTGAGAATTTATTTGTTATATTTGAAATTTCATTTTTCAGAAGTTCTTTTTCTTTAGAGATACGATCAAAACTTTCTTTAGAAATATTTTTCAGATCAGAAATTTCCTTTTTCAATAAATCACTTTTCTTTTCAAGGAATTCTTTATTCTCCTTGATAAGATTAAATTCTTTTTGCAAAAATCAATCTTATCCTTTTACGAAATATCTTGCTATTTTAAAAGATTGTTTTCCCTTTTTAAACATTCATTTTC